AGTCGCCGGATGGCCGGCAAGGGCAGGACGTATACACGCTGCCGCACATAGCGGCTGTGCGTGCCGGCAGTCAAGCAGTACGGGCTTCCAGTGTGTGCGCATACCCATGGCAGCGGCACATAACGCCCGTAACGGCAGTTAGTGGTTTGCAATGCACGTACGCACTTGCCACGCCCAGTCGAGCACGCTAGCGTGCGGTAGTATCCGCCAGCACGCAGCGTCGCACACCAGTGGCCTCGGCAGCACCCAGCAGGCCGCCCGAGTAGCCAGCACCGTAGGTATCGCACGGCAGTGCTGGATGGTTCCAGTCATGTCAGTCAGCGCTTGTGCGCGCTCTTTAGTGCCCAGTCGTACGTCGTGGTGTGTGGCAACACCCGACAGTGCCCAGTCAGGTAGCAGCCGATGCGCATAGCATTCAGCGGCACCTCAGGTCATGCCCAACGTTGCCCAACAGCCAGCGCCAGTGGCTAGGCCAGGCAGCGCCCGTGCGCGCAGCACTCAGCAGGCCGCTGGCCGAGCCAGCCACCGACTGCCCGGTTTAGCAGACCGGTTCAGACCGGTTCAGACCGCCCACTTTATGCCTGTCAGGATGGACATTTCCATGGAGCAGCTAGCCGAGACGTATCTCCAGGGAATTGTTCAACTTCACGGCGTTCCTGCCGAGATTATATCAGATAGAGATCCTCGATTTACTAGCCATTTCTGGGAGAGTCTTAACGAGTCCATGGGGACAAAGTTCAAGTTTAGCTCCGCTTATCATCCACAGACCGACGGTCAGTCGGAACGAACCATTAGACACTTGAGGACATGCTTCAAGCTTGTGTTCTAGAGCGTGGTGGTTCATGGGAGGAGTTGTTACCCACTGTGGAGTTTGCCTACAATAACAGCTATCACTCGTCGATCAAGATGGCACCGTTCGAAGCTTTGTACGGTCGTAAGTGCCGCTTACCCCTTTATTGGGATGAAGTTGGCGAGAAACAGGTTCTCGGTCCCAAATTGATCGAGGACACAGTGCAGGAGGTAGCCGAGATCCGAGCGAAGCTGAGAGAGGCACAGAGCCGACAGAAGGCCTACGCTAACAAGCGTATAAGGGAGCTTGAGTTTGAGCAGGGAGAAAAGGTGTTCCCGAAAGTCACGCCGATGAAGGGTGTTGTACGATTCGGGAAGAAAGGGAAGCTTCAGCCCCGATTCATAGGGCCATTCGATATTCTCGAACGAGTTGGCGTAACAGCCTACCATCTGGCGTTACCCCCAGAGCTCTCGGGTGTACACAACATCTTCCATGTGTCGATGTTGAGAAAGTATGCGTACGACCCGAGCCATGTAGTGAACTTTGACGTGCTAGTGGTCGGGCAGAACCTGACGTATGATGAGCGGCCGGTAGCAGTTCTGGACCGAAAGGTTTGACGGCTGAGAAACAGAGATATAGAGCTCGTCAAAGTTTGTTGGAGTCGCCACGACGAGTCGGAAGCCACTTGGGAGAGAGAGGCCGAGATCAGAGCTCGATATCCAGATT